GAGTCCTATATTCTCACACCCAGTGTCCCCTATTATTAACATCTTACATTAGTGTGCTACATTTATCACAACTAATGAACCAGTATTGATTATTGTTATAAACTAAAGGTCATACTTCATTCAGATTTCCTTAGTTTTTACCTAATGTCCTTTTTTGTTCCAGGATCTTATCCAGGACATCACATCATATTTGGTTGTTATGTCTTTCTCCTTAGGCTCCTTTTGGCTGTGACTGTCTTTAATGGCCTTGACAGTTTGGAGGAGGAGGAGTGGGGTATTTTGATGGAATTTGTCCCATGTTTCTCTCATGATTAGACTCAGGGGTTGTAGGAGGACAACCATAGAGGTAATGTGTTACTTCATTACATCATATCAAGGGTCCATACTAGTATTATCAACACGATAGATTAACAATATAGGTATAATCTAATAATAATATGATAACATAATATAGACTAAATGAGTAGATTAAGTGGTTCATATGTTTTATTGGGTTGGTTTTTGTGGTACTGTATTCCCCGCCCCACCAAAGAACCAGTGCTCAGATTGTTTGATTAGTTCTATTTTTTCCTATCTTATTTTGCTTCATTCATGTATTCTTATGCTTTTTTATTTGCTAGTATAAGTAAAACAGGCATAATGGCCTCTGAGCACCAATTTGGGTGAGATCCCCCAGATTCTAATACATGGAATATTTCTTATTATTCTTATTCTCTAGGTATTCTGCAACTTCTATCTAGATCTCTCTTTTTAAAATCTGGGTTTTGTAAAAGAGAGTTTTTTTTGTTTGTTTACTGTCATTTTACTTACTGTTCATACCGTAGTCACATTTAAATTGGCAAAACTGCTCCATGACAGAGAGGACACACAGAAAAACAAGGGGTGGTTTTCGTAAAGCTTGAGAAACACCGCAGTGACACAGGGCTGGCTGCAGCCTCCTGCCCACAGCGCCGAGGGGTGCGAGCGGTGGGAAAGGAGGTGCTCCGGCAATAGCTGGCCTGCTGCTGCGAGCCTGAGACCACGGCTGCCTCCTGAGGGGAATTCCCTGATGTGCCTGGTAAGCCGGTCATTTGTAAGTAACAGATATAAACAGAGTAGGGAGACTAAAGGAGAGTTTTTTAAAAAGGTTCCATGTGGTAGAGTTTTGTAATCCATAATTTTGTGATCCAAAATTTTGTGATTAATTTCTAGGTTTGCTTCTACTTTATCAGATTCTGTATTACTTCATCCTTTTTATTTGTGGTCTATTTGTGGTCTAAAATATGGAAAAATTTTTCAAAGTATACATCCATTACAACTATCTTATTAATAATGCAATTTTGTTTTTTCTGACTTTACCTGATATGGTCTCTTGATCCTCACGAGCTGAAAGAGGTGAATGAAAATCACCTGCCTCGCTGGGACCGGTTTGGCTCAGTGGATAGAGTGTCGGCCTGCAGACTGAAAGGTCCCAGGTTCGATTCCGGTCAAGGGCATGTACCTTGGTTGCGGGCACATCCCCAGTGGGGGGTGTGCAAGAGGCAGCTGGTCCATGTTTCTCTCTCATCGACGTTTCTAACTCTCTGTCCCTCTCAATTCCTCTCTGTGTAAAATCAATAAAATATATTTTTTAAAAAAAGAAAGAAAGAAAATCACCTGCCTCTGCAGTGTATCTGTCGGTTCTTCCTAGTGTTTCCCATTGCTTTTGCTCCGAATTTTGGTGCTGTCATTTCAATTGTGGGTCATATTCGTTATTATTATTATTATTATTATTATTATTATTATTTTTATTTTGAGAACTGAAGTTTAGAGGAAGGGAGAAGGATAGAGAGAAACATTAATGAGAGAGAAACAACCATCAGTTGCCTCATGCACAGCCCCTATTGGGGATGTGCCCGCAACCAAGATACATGCCCTTGACCAGAATTGAACCTGGGACCCTTCAGTCTGCAGGCCAACGCTCTATCCACTGAGCCAAACCGGTTAGGGCCATATTTGTTATCATTATAAAGTGTTCTTCTTTGTCTTATTTGGAACCATTTATCCTGAATTCAACTTTACTTGACTATGTTAAGGCAATAGTGCCTGTTTAATTTGAGGAGCACACACCCGGTATATATTTGCTCTTCCTTTATTTTCGGAATTGTCAAATCACTTTGCTTTGGGGATGTCTCTGGTAGGAAGCATCCTGTTGAGGATTTTGTCTTGTTCCCCGATCTTAAGATCCTTTCTTTTTAGTAGTTTTATGTCTTTTTGCTTTCATTGCTTTTTAAAACAAACCCTTGCATGGTATTATTTTATTTTGTGTTGTGTTCCTTCTAAGAACTGGAAGGTCTGTATTTTTAGTTCTTCTGGAGGGAGCCTTTAGAACTACATAAAATGCATTAAAATATTTTAAAAGACTAGACTAGTTGTCTCCCTTTTGAAAAAGTGATCATAAAATTAGTTTACAAATGTGATCATGATTTTCATGTGCTTTGTGCAGCTTTTTTTCTGGCGAGTTTTCTTGGTTTGCCTTTCCCGCCTCCCCCCCCCCCCCCCCCCCCCCCAATTCTCCTCCTCCTTAATTTCTCCTCTAGCATATTGGACTGTATTGTGTGCTGCTTGCTCTTGGAAAGGGGCGAACCTTCTCAGATCAGCATTTGTAGGGGATGCAAGTAGAGGAGGCTCATGGGAGTATTCCAGGACAGCAGGGTCGCTCTCAGGTTCATGGTAACTGTTCACAGGACCGTGGCAGTGATTTCTTTTAGCTTCTACCCAGACAGCAGAGACCTGCTGCTATAGCCTTCCCCCCATTCACGCCCCTCTCCTGCTCTGCCTCACCAACACACTGCTCCCTGTGAAGATGGCTGGTCTGTGGTTCCCTGTTAGCCCTGTCCTCCTCCTCCCTCCTCACCCCTCCCCCCCCCACCTCAAACCGACTTTCCCATGAGACCCCACCCCATAAGGTGGTTGGCCTTATGTTCGCGTCCATGTTCCTGGGTGGCCTGGGTGTCACAGGAGCTCCCATGGCCAGGGCACACGCCCTGTTCCCATTTTTCCTGGTTAGGAACCTTTGTTTTGTTGTTTTGTTTTGTTTCCTTCAGGGAGTATCATCCCAGAGCGATCAGGCAGCTTTATCCGAGCGTCACAGCCACAGGTGGCTTGTGTGGGTGCTTTCTCACACCTCCTTGGATCCTCACCGCGTTTGGCAGCCCTTCATACTGCTTCTGGCAGCCTCTCCTTAGAAGTTGTGGTTCAGGTTAACAAATGTGCTCCAGTTTTGCCGAAGATAGAATTTGCATTCCTGCGTCTCTTCCTCTTTTGTCGTGGGTGATTTGGGAGATCCAAAGGCGCATTTTTATCCTGCTAACTTAGAACTGTCAAGGGTTGTGAGTTTTTCCTTGCTCTGTGTACTGGTATTCCTCCAGATTCAACACTAGCCAGAGCGGTCTGGTTGGCGTCTGCGCGAGCCGGAGCTGGGGTCTGACCATAGATAGGAAAGGACATGGGAGTTGAGAATGAAGTAGGAGGGTTCAAGGAGAAGCCCAAGGCATCTCTGCCTGTGCTGTGTGGCCGCAGGCGTCCCTCCCTTGCACTCTGGCTGGGAGTCCTGCCGCTGTTTGGGTGGAAGGCCCGTGGGGCAAGGGATAAAACACACCTGTCTCCTGGCCTGCCTCAGGGGAGGATTTTCTGAGCCCAGTAGCTCTCAGGCCAGCGTGGGGAGGGCACAGGCCCCTTCCCTGGACAGGCTGCAGGGCTCAGCTCCCCATCTCAACTCACACCAGGGCCCATTCAAGCACCGGGGTCTGGCTGGTCTCCTAGTGATGGTGGCCAAGTCCCCATCCCTAAAACTAGGATCCTGCCTCACAGGAGGTTTCCCAGAGTGAATGGCAGGGGTTATCTGCCCAAAGAAAGAGCTTGCCCCTCCAAAGAGAAAGCATTCTCCTGGGATGCCCAGCGGATAGACCCAGAGAGGGAAGCCTGCCCACAAGGTCTCAGGCTCCCATGCCACCTGGAGGGAAGCATTTTATCTCCATTTTATAGATGAGGAAACTGGAGTCTCAGAGAGATGGAGGGATTTGGATGCAGTTCTGTTTGGGTCCAGAGCCTGGACACCAGCTCCCTTATACCCCCGCTTCCTGCTCGTCTTCCCATGGAGACCCTACCCCATCCTCAGATGGCTGCCTTGTGTCCATCTCCATGTCCCTGGGTGATCGTGCTAGGTCCTCGCCCTGTGTCTTTACTTCTCAACACTGTTCTTTATTTTTTATTTATTTTTATTTTTAAAAATATATTTTGTTGCTTTTTTTTACGGAGAGAAAGGGAGAGGGATAGAGAGCCGGAAACATCGATGAGAGAGAAACATCAGTCAGCCGCCTCCTGCACACCTCCCACTGGGGATGTGCCCACAACCAAGGTACATGCCCTTGACCGGAACCGAACCTGGGACCCTTCAGTCCAGAGGCCGACGTTCTATCCACTGAGCCAAACCGGTTAGGGCTTGACTGTTCTTTAGATGCTATGTAAGCTCCCCAGGCCAGCCAGCGACAGGAGACGAGGGGCCATCGCCTCTGTGTCTCCGGCCCCCATGTCTTAGGCAGCTGTGCTCCTCTCCAGCCTCAGTGGTCTTGGACAAGTCACTTACGTCTCCGGGTTTAGTCCACATTTCCAAAAAAATAAAAAATGACCTGGGACTGCTCCAAGGACAGACCATGGACGCTGAAGCCAGGGCCTGCGTTTGAGTCCTGGCTCAGCAGCCCCTTCTTAGCCGTAGGACTTCGGTGAATTACTTACCCTGCCTCTTTTAATTTTCTCATCTCTAATTTGGGAGTCATGTATATGTCATGGGGTGGTTTAAGGATTAAATAAACTAATACATGTAAATCATTTTTAGAACAGTGTCTGGCATACGGCACGTATTAGGTAAGCGCCAGATGCATGAATTATTATGAAAGCATGGTGAAGGGCTCAGCCAAGGCATGGGCGTCCATGCCATCGATGCTGCTGTGATAACACCTATGCCCTCTGCTTCCTTCCAGGAGCTTGGGCCCCTGCCCCAGCCCGGCAGAGGCTGTGGAGGTGGTAGACCGTCCGGCAGCCTGGTGGTGCCCAGGCCCCCGGCCCATCCCTGGCAGCGGGGCACGGCAGCTCCCACGAGGTAGCAGCAGCGGCGGCCTGAGCTTGAGCCCCTCCTGGGAGTGAACCATGGGCCAGAAACTGTCGGGGAGCCTCAAGTCGGTGGAGGTGCGCGAGCCGGCGGCGCTGCGGCCGGCCAACAAGCGGGAGCTGCGCGGGGCGGAGCCGGAGCGGCCGGCGCGGCTGGACCAGCTGCTGGACATGCCGGCGGCCGGGCCGGCGGCGCAGCTGCGGCACGCGTGGAACCCCGAGGACCGCTCGCTCAACGTGTTCGTCAAGGACGACGACCGGCTGACCTTCCACCGGCACCCGGTGGCGCAGAGCACGGACGGCATCCGCGGCAAGGTGGGCCACGCGCGCGGGCTGCACGCCTGGCAGATCCGCTGGCCGGCGCGGCAGCGCGGCACGCACGCGGTGGTGGGCGTGGCCACGGCGCGCGCGCCGCTGCACTCGGTGGGCTACACGGCGCTGGTGGGCAGCGACGCCGAGTCGTGGGGCTGGGACCTGGGCCGCAGCCGCCTCCTGCACGACGGCAAGAACCGGCCCGGCGTGGCCTACCCGGCCTTCCTGGGGCCCGAGGAGGCCTTCGCGCTGCCGGACTCGCTGCTCGTGGTGCTGGACATGGACGAGGGCACGCTCAGCTTCGTGGTGGACGGCCAGTACCTGGGCGTGGCCTTCCGCGGCCTCAAGGGCAAGAAGCTGTACCCGGTGGTGAGCGCCGTGTGGGGCCACTGTGAGGTCACCATGCGCTACATCAACGGCCTGGACCGTAAGTGCATCCCAGGGTCGGCCTGGCTCCGGGGTTGGGGGGTGTAGGGGAGGAGGGGGTCGGCGAGGGAGGCTGGACGCAGGTGAGAGGCCCTGCCCGCCATCCATCCGCACCTGGGGTGACCCTGCCGTGGTATGCGGAGTGTGGTGAGGACGTGGACGCTGCGGACACGCGGTTGGGTTTGAGTCTTATCTCTCCTTGGCTGGCTTTGTTAGCCTGCGCAGTGCCTCAGTTTCCCCACTGTTTGTAATTATGGCTAGGGCTGCTGTGTTCTGAAGATCAAATGAGATAATACCATAGGTGAAGTCATTAGTAGAGTGATTGGCACCTAATAAGGGCTTAATATATATATATATATATATATATATATATATATATATATATATTTGATTTTTTACAGAGAGGAGGGAGAATTAAAGAGATAGAGAGAATTAGAGAGATAGAGAGATAAACATTTGACCAGCTGCCTCCTGCACAATTCCTACTGGGGATGTGCCCGAAACCAAGGTACATGCCCTTGACCGGAATTGAACCTGGGACCTTTCAGTCTGCAGGCCGAGGCTCTATCCATTGAGCCAAACTGGTTTCAGCCTAATAAGGTTTTGAGTGTGGATGCTGACTTTGAATCCTCAGGCCTGCATAAAGGTTATGCAAAAACGAGGTCTCCCCGTGTGCCCGGCCTCCTGCTCACAGCAGAAGGGGAGCGACCAGTTAGAAAGCACAGTCCCTGTACTTAAGCGCCTTGCACGGAAGTTACTAATAAATAATAAGATCACAGCTATCATTTATTGGCAACCTGCTGTAGGCAGGGCTAAACACCCCGATTCCGGCTCTTCCTGGTGACCTGTCTGTTAAAGGGGACAGTTGCCTCTGCTCTCTGGCCGATCAGCGCCTCAGCGGGAAGGAGAGCTGCCCATTGTGGAATCTTCTCGTGTTTCAAGGGGACCCAGAAACCTAGATTTTGTGTGAGCTACCCCCGTCTTAAAGTTGGTCGCTGCTGAAAACAGCACGTGGGCCAACAAAACACCCTTGCAGGCTGCAGACGAGCCTGTAGGCTGCTGGGCTTGACTCCTAACAGTTCTAAGGTCTCCCTGCATTGAACATACAGTCATCCCGCGAGGCCGCAGTCCCAAAAATGGTGCCTGGTTTTAGGGTGGAGTCACCCCTGGAGGCAGGGTGGCCTCTGCGCAGAGGGGCACAAGGATGTCTGTCCCGTAACAATGCAGGATCTTGTGGGCTCGCACACTCCTTGTCCAATCAGAGGTCCCGCCGCACCCGATAAAGCTCACAGCCCTCGTATACGCACAGAGGTGGGTGCTGAACGCCAGCATTTCACTTTTACTCATTTTACATGGGAGCCATAACTGTCCCCATTTTAGCGATGAGACACTGAATGGTGGGGCTACAGAGAGCTGGTACCAGGTCTCCCCGGGTGTGCCAGCCTCTGGAGCCCGCTCTTTTTTTCACGCTTCCCCCCCCCTCCCTCCCTAAGTTGAGGGATTGAGGGTAACACTCAAGAAAAGCCAAGAGCAAGGTTTTACTCAAGTAAGATTTATACTTACCTGCAGGGCGGGTTAGTGTTCGAGGGTTTCAGGCCAACACACGTATGCTCAGCTCTCTGGTATAACCCGTGGCATTCTTGCTCGCATTTTGTTTTTCTAGTCGCCGGACTGAGATTGCCGTTGAATGGCACAGTGTTGTTCCGTTTGTTCTGATTAACGGGTTAAATCCGGGAGCAGACGAGTGTGTCCTGGGAAGGCTGGTTTAGTCATCCCAGTGCCTTGTGGAGAATGCCGGGCCATGGGGACCGGGCACACGTCAGGGCTGAGGAAAACGACACCAACAACACTCTGCTAAAATCAGAATTGAGAAACGTGCTTGCCAGAATTAATCCCTGGGCTAGACAGGTGGGCCTGGTATACGGCTCTTGAGTCTGATCTGCCTTATTTCCAACTGCATCCTTAACTGTGTCTTTGGAAAAGTGGCTGCCTCCTTGTGTCTTTGGTGCGACAGTCACTCCAATGCCTTGCGACTCATTTCACTCATCCGTAAATTGGGACAGTATCAGATCCTTTGCATAGCTACGGTGAGATCTGGTGTGGGGGCACCAATTATATAGTAGCTGTGATGAAAGGCTGGCATTGACACCCTGTGGGAGCTACCTGAGCCAACAGCTGGCCCCCTCCCCTTCTCCCCCCCCCCCTCCCTGAGGTGGGCCTCTTCCTGGGCATTGATTCACACTTGGGTATCACCTGGGGCTTGGTTTTCAGGTTCAAAGCTAAGGTGCTAGCAAGGTTGCAGCCAGCGGCTCTCCCACACACAATAGGATTGGAGCAATCTAGCCACGGGGTCCTCCTCGGTGTGCTGCTGGGGGCGGGGGTCTGCGTGGGGAAGAACAGTGAACTCCTGGATCCTTCAGGTGGCTAAAGAAACTCGAGACTGAAGTTTGGAGTGTCCCATCCTCCACCCTGGCAGTGATTTTTCCCCTGGGTGGGCTGAAGCTGGAATGCCCATCCAGGACTCCAGGGGAGTCCAGGGTGCCATGGACGTGAGCCCATGGCATCTCCCATTCGGTGACAAGATTGGCTGGTCTGCTGTGCCACTGGCCTGCCCCCCAGATAGGGGTCCTGTTCTCTGACTCAGGAAGGGTCTGCCTGCAGAAAGAGGAGGTCAGCTTCTCCGGGCTTCTGAAGGCCCATGATCAGTGTGACAAGACCTGACTATAGGATGGGCCGTAGCACAGGCTGCAGTGGAGTCTGGCAGGAGCTACTTGGGAAGGGACTCTGCGATGCCTATAGTTGGCGACCTGGGCTGAAGTCCACCTGTGGGACACTGGGCAGCGGGAAGGGTTTGGCCCTAGGGAGTCTCTGGGCAGGGACCCCAAGGTGGGATTCTGTGCATGAGAATTCTGAGTCCACAGCGGTCGTGGAATGATGGCGGGTCCCCAAACCCAGACCCTCCTGGGACCTGGCCACAGTTAGAGACAGGCTCCAGAGCAGAGGTCATGGGGCTGAACTCTGCCCGGGGCCTCCCAGAGCCCAGCGCCCTCCAGGAGGCCAGGGGCAACGATCACCTCCTCTCTCCGAACCCATTGTTCTCCTTTGTAAAGCTCGCCAGCACAGAGCAGGCAGGCACAGAGCCATCCGTGCTCCCTGCTTGGATTAACTAGGTGAGCTGGGCCCGGTCCTGGGGTTCGCTTATGGATGAAAACAGAAATGGCCTTGGTAGAGGCTCCTCCTCCTCTAATGTGATTAAAGTAAGCTATCCCATTTCCTCAATTTCTGAATATTTATGACCGTAAAAGCAAGACTTAGAAAGCGCTAACTGCATTTAACTCTGAAGCATGTGTTCATTGAGGGAAGAGCTCCCGGAAGTGCTCTCTCCGTTGCAAATGCGGGGGAAGCCGCTCAGCACCTGGGGTTTGCTCTAAAGAGCTGCAGGCCTCCCGGAGTGAGCTGAGAACGGAAGCGAGGCCAAGCGAACGGGCAAGCTGTCTCCAGGCGACGACGGGGTCCAGGGTCCAAATAATGACAGCAGCAATAACGGATACGTATATACCCTGTTTCCCCGAAAATAAGACAGTGTCTTATATTAATTTTTTCTCCCAAAGTTGCGCTAAGTCTTATTTTCAGGGGATGTCTTATCTTTCCATGCGCTAGGTCTTATTTTCGGAGGATGTCTTATTTTCGGGGAGACACGGTAATAACAGCAAAAACTAATACAGTGCTTAGTCTGTGCTGGACTGCATTCTAAGCACTTTACAGATTCTAACTCAGTCCTGGTGACAACTCTGTGAGCTTAATACCTGTATTACCATCTTCATTTTATGATGAAGAATTGAGGCGCAGAGAGCTTGAGTCAGTTGCTCACACAGCTAGGAACTGAGGGACGCAGGATTCACACTGGCAGACTGGGCCAGTGGGTCCCTCGTGGAGCTGTTTGCAGACAAGGCAGGAAGAGAACGGACCGAAGAAGTTGCTTCCCCCGTCCAGATGCAGCAAAGGGCAGGACCCTTTCCTTTAGCTGTGAGTTCCGGGGAGGTCCTGAGAGGCTGTCCCTGTGCTTCCTCCTCCCTCCCAGCACCCAAAGCTCTTGGCTCAGCGTAGAGCTCCTCTGGGTGCTCCAAACAGCCCCAGCAGTGGCCACGAATCAGGCACGCTTTGATTGCTAACGGGATACTGTCGCTGAAAATGTCCCGACTGCTGTGAGGTTTGGCCCCTGGGATAGGCCAGGCCTTTGGAATCCGCTCTGGGCTGGTTTCAGGATTCGCTCCTGGGCTCATGCTCCTGGCTCCTCCTCCATGCTGGCTGCCAGGAGGGCTGACACACCGGCTTTGTCTCCCGTCTTGGAGTTCTTGGGTGGTGAGTGGTATGTGAGTGACACAGGAAGTGGAGAGGAGCCACAGATGGAGACAAGCAGGCTTGGAGTCCTGGGCAGTTTTGATTTGAGGGTCATAGTAATTTAATTATACCTTTTAAAAGATACCACCCATGTTCTGTGCCTTAGGCCAAGTGTTGCGCTCATTTTATTCTTTTGTCGTGTGTGTGTGTGTGTGTGTGTGTGTGTGTGTGTGTGACACAATAAACCTTGAGGCAAGGTGACTGTTATCATCCCCATTTTACAAAAGGAAACTGATTCTTGGAAAGTGAAGAATTTGCCCAAGTAGCAGAGCTATACTTAAACCCAGGTCATAACCGCTCCCGGGCCCGCCCCGCGGCCTGGGCCAGCCCTGCCTCCATTCCGCCCACAGCTCAGGGCCTGGTTCCACGGAGCAGGTGCCGGTGTCCTGGGCTGACTCTCTGAGGATGGAGAGTGGGCACCGTGGGATCTGACTGGCAGAGAGACTTGTCTGCCTGCATCGAGCCGGGGAAATTGTGTTTCCAGACGCAGTTCCTAGATGGTTTAATTGATCTGCCAACAACTATTTATTGGCGCGATGGCTCAGCAGAGGAGGCTGGCGGCCAGCCAGGGTTCCCGGAATTGATGAGGGCCAGAGAGAG